GGGCAGTTCTCCTCTGTCCTGTTGGGTTGCTGTGAGTCAGAATTGACTTGATGGCAGTGGGTTTTATACATACATACTGTATAATACTGCCATTTCAACATTTATACCATGTACAATTCAGTGAGGTTCATAATTATGTTCACCATGTTGTGCAGACATCACCACTATATCTGTTTCTAAATTTCTTTATCGTTCTTTTAATGGATTTTTTTTTCTAAATTTTATTTATTTTGTTGTATGGAGAATCTATAGAGCAGAACATACAGCAGCAGTTTCTACATGAACAATTTTGTGACATTGATTATATCCTTTAATTTGTGAAACCATCCTCACCCTTTTTCTGAATTGCTTCTCTTCATTAACGTAAATTCACTGCACTCCGAGGTTCCTGTCTGATCTCTCACATTGCTGTGGTCAGTTTGATCCCATGTAGATAGTTCTTAAAAGAGTATGATGCTCAAGGCAAGCCTTTTTTTTTATTAGTGAAGCTAAACTGTTGCTTGGTTTTAAGATGATTTCAGGGGATATTTTTGGTTTATGGTTTAAAGATTATGTCAGGGTACTGGTTTCAGGGGTTCATCTCTCCACCATGGCTCTAGAAAGTCTAGAGTCCATGAGATTTTGAAGTTCTCTTCTGCATTTTTCTTCTTTTGATCAGGATTCTTCTATGGAATCTTTGATCAAAATAACAGAACGTTCTTTTTAATGAAGAAACAATATTGCATTTTAGAAAAGGACAGTTCTATTTTATCCCTGTGCAGTACATGAAAATATTTAAAAATATTATACGTATTGTTTTGTAACCTATTAGAACTTAACAAAATATATTAGGTATCTTTCCATGCCAGTCCATGTATATATAAATCCACCTCATTTCTTTTAATGTCTGAATGTACCATAACTTACTTAACCAAGCTCTATTGTTGTACTTAAGTTATTTCCAGTTTTTCATAGCTATAAATAATGCTACACAATCTTTGTGTTCTGGTCTGATGATTTCCTTGGAATAAATTTCTAAAAGTGTAATAGCTGTTAAGTATATTTAATATTTTGATCAATAGTCCCTGATTGCCCTTTAGGAAGGTATACCAAAGTTTCACTTCCAAACAGCAGTGTTCTCATTCTTTCCCAC